GCCTCTGAGTCGTCCCGCCCCGACGGCGAATCCAACACGAAAGGCCGAGAAGCGCGGGGCCCGCGGCCAGCGGCGCGCCCAGCGTCCCGGGGACCCCAATCTGCCGCCGCCGCAGCACGTGACGCGGTCGCCCCCCGCGGTCGCCGGGACTGCGCCTCTCCCCTCCCTCCGGGGCCTGGACTCGGCGCTCGGAGCCTCGGGTAGGTGATACGACACGCCGCCGCGCGCTCCTGCAGGTGTCACCAGCATCCCGCATTTCCTGGGAGAATGGGGGAGGGGCGCTGGGGACTGGGAGCGCCCAGGGACTTTCCGGGATGACTGCCCCGCCAGACCTAGTCTGCGGTGCTTGAATGCAAGACACTGCCCGGGACCCAGAAACGCAGTCTGGCAGGGAGACTGCCTTGCAGCAGTGTCCCCTTGGCGAGCCTCTCCACAGAGAGGTCGGATGTGAGGTGGCCTTTGAGAGAGATAGGACTTCATTCCTGACCATTGTTGGTCTTGTGCGTTTGTCTACCTTTCTGGTCACCTTACCTGGATCTGCGCCCATTGCCTTGGTAGGGTTTTGCCCACTGGAAGCTGTCTTCATTTATTTCCCTAACAACCTCTAACTGAAAACCTGGGTCAGCCTGCTGGCCTGGTCCAACCTCTCCACTGAGGTCCTGACCCACATCCCAGCTCCTCAACTGCTAGACTTGCCACAAACACTGTAAAGCCCACAGGCCTTGGACTGAATGAGCACTGGACCCCTTGGTCGGTCCCCGTCTCAGCTTGGCACCTCCACCTTCCAGGCCCCCAGCTCTGCATGCTGAAGTCATCTCTCTCTCCTTCCTGTCTTGCTCTTTTGTTTAGGTGACAAGTATATCGCAAATAGCCTCTCCCATCCCTACAGGACCCCAGTCTGGTGGTTTTCTAGCAGGGAGTCCATGCTGCTCTCCTGCTCTGGGAGCTCTTTGAGCTACAGCCCCTGGACTTCATTGCAGGCACTGGCTCTGCAGCCCAGCCCACAGCTGACACTAACGTTGACACTAGGGCTCCTGGGCTGGGCCACCCCCAGCCACAGGGGCTGGCTGGACTGCAAGAGGCTCCCTGCAGCCAGACAAGTGTGAAAACTCCTTACTCTTTGTGCCAAGGCCCCAAAACATACTAAAGGAGCTGGACGCTCCTGGCATAGCAGGTCCTGCAAAGGTGTGAGCATCCTGCATGGGTGTCAGCCTGCTGGGGCCAGCACTGCAAAAGCATCCTTGAGATGAGCAGTAAGAAAATAGATATGTACCCACACTTGTATTATCCAAGCTGTTTTTATTTGGTGAACTCTGAGTTTTCTTTGTCTCACTGTGACTCACAAATAAGATAGAATTTTCAGGGCCTTTTTGAGGAAACATCTTTGTATTTGAACAGTCACCATGCCTGTAGATGCAGCAATCCAACTTGGGCAGGCATGGGTGTCATGAGCCAGGGTGCTTCTAAGCTGGGCCCAGAAAAGTAGGAAGCGAGAGGGCTAGTGTCCGGCAGCTAGGATGGGTTTCCTAGAGGAGGTGACTGTCCACCTGGGGCAGGGCTGCTACTCAGAGTAGTTTCTTGTCTTCCTGAAGTCCAGAGAGTGGAAACACTTTGCAAAAGAGGTCCCCAAGCCTGAGTATGAGGCCCAACCTGCAGGGCTGGCCTTAGTGGGCATAAAGATGCCTCCAGGTGGGTGAAGTCAAGATGGTCTGGTCCCAAGATTGTCAGCTGAGAGCCCCTCTCCCTTTTAGGAAACACCATATCCTCCCACCACTAACCTCCCTAAGTTTCCTGACCAGCAATCTGTAGCATCTGGGGTCTCAGGGAAGGGGGTGGGAGAGTGATTCTGAGCTCCAAATAGTGTCCAGGAGGCTCAGATGAACCTGCTTTTCAGCTCCTACACCAGATGGGGGCACCCTCCTCTGCACTCCCCACCAAGCAGTTCAGGGTAGGCAAGCCCACTCCCCAAGCCCCCATACCCATAAGGAGCCCCAGTTTCTCAAGACTCAAAGCTGTTCTCACCCCTGACCCAGGCACACCCACCCAACTCCAGCAATGTGGAGGTATAGACTTCTGGCCAGTCCTGCTCCAAGCTGTGCTTACTTGCTTTTTTTGGTTCCTACTAAAGCATGAGAAACCTGGTTAGTGTCTGTGGTGGCAACTGCCTCACCCAGTCTGAGCCAGAAAAGACTACTAGAGAGGAGAGGGGACAGAAGCAAAGGAGCCCTCTTCCTTCTCTCCCATCTACTCCTTATAAGTTGGCTCCTGCCCTTGCCATTCAACACATATTTCTTTAACATCAACTACATGCTGGGTACTGAGGGTCCAGAGATGAGGACACATACGGCCTGTCCTCAGGAAGCTCTGGGTGGGACTGGGAAGAAGGAATCATAGGCAAGCCAACAATGAAAGCACAGAGCGATGCGTGATGCCCTGGGGGGAGTTCAGGACACTGGAGGGATCCCAAAAGGTCAGGAGACCTCTAAGCTGAGCCCTGTTGGAGGTGCAAGAATAGCAGGACAGCCCTAGCCAGTTTGGGTCAGTGGTTAGAGCGTTGGCCCTGGGACTCAAGGGTCCCAGGTTCGATTCCGGCCAAGGGCACGTATTTCAGTTGCAGGCTCCCCTGGCCCTGGTCCCGGCCAGTGTGGGAGGCAACTAATCAATGTGTCTCTCACATCCATGTTGCGTGCTCTCTCTCTCTCTCTCTCTCAAAAAGCAATGAAAAAAATATCCCCTGGTAGGGATTAAAAAGGGGGGGGGGGGTGAGACAAAAGGCAGCCTCCAGAAGCAGGGACCCTTATTCTGGAATCTGTTATTCCGGAATCTGCCAGTAGTTTGAGGGAAGGTGGGGGCGACTGTTTCCCACAGTGGTTTGGGCCCTGTTGGAGGCTTCAGGCAGCTGTGGGGGTGGGGTGGGGGGACACTGGCTTTCAGCAGGGTTTGCTTCTAGGAAACTGATCTGGCTGCAGCGAGCTTGGAGGCAGGCCCAGATTCCAGACAGGGCTCTGCCTCTCACCAGCTGTGTGTCCCTGGGCAAATCATTTCCCCCTCAGAACCTCGGTGTCCTCATCTGTAAAATGCAGATAGCAGTTGGGAGGAGGAAGATAAATATTTCTATAAAGCACCTGGAACATAACTGGCATGGAGGCAGGGCCGATGGCTGTGAAGCTGCGCCTGCCACCTGACCTGGGTCTTCCAGTCTCCTTTCTCGGCTCCCCAGTGATCTCAAAACGTTCTTGATCTTTGTGTATCAGGGAAAGAGCCTGTGGAGACGCTAACAAAGCGCCAGGAAGGAGCCAGGGTGCGACAGGGCTAGGGAGGGAAGGAGCTTGGGTAGGCGCTCAGCGCTCCAGGGGGCGCCAGCCAGGAAAGCCTCAGCAGGGAGCGGGCCAGGGCCCAGGTCCTCTCCCTGAGCTGAGACCCTCAACCTCCAGAGTTGCTCCCTGGGTTTGGGCCTACCGCCCAAGCCATCCTTGACCTGGGGGTCATGCCCGCGCTGAGACTGTGACGAGAGGGGATTTGTAAGCGCCTGGCTCTCCGTGTGGGGGGCCAGCAGGCTGTCCTAGCCCTTCCCCTGCGCCCCTCACCCATCAGGCCGGCTGTGTTCTTCCAGGCCCTACCGAGCTCGCTGGCCCAGCGCTCGCCCGCGCAGCCATGGAGACCCTGGGTGCGGGGGGCGGCCGCGTGTCCCCAGCCTCGTCCACGCGCAGCCTGGACCTGCGGCGGATGTCCGTGCGCGCCGACTCGGCCTACAGCTCCTTCTCCGCGGCCTCGGGCGGTGCGGAGCCGCGCACTCCCTCGCCCGAGACCGACCTCCTTCCGTACCTGGACTGGGACTACGTGCGCGTG